GTATACATGCTAATGAGAGCATGGGTATCGGGATCTTTGTATTGTTACAATGTTAGTATACTTGCTGCTAACCGGAGCATGGGTATCGGGATCTTTGTATTGTTACAATGTTAGTATACATGCTACTAACAAGAACATGGGTATCGGGATATTCATTAAGCTGTAAGATAATGAAGAGTTAAATAAAAATACATAAGCGGAAGTTCTTTTAAACATAATGAAGAAAAAGATCACGAAGATAAAAACGAACCTATTTCTCTTATGGAAGTGCTATTTTAAGACACAAATAACCTGCTTCCATCTCCCCATGGAGTGCTGCCTGCACTACCAAACCCACACTCCACAGGCATCAGAAAAGACTGGGTGTAATGTTCTCTGGCCTCTGACCTGTGACTGCCAGGCTCCCTTTGCTTTCAATCTCCTTCCTTTATTTGTCTGTCTTGAAATCTATTGCTCTCACCTTTGATGCAGCCCTATGCCCTGCTGGTAAAGCCTTCTCTACCTTCCTCACCCTTTGTTAGCCTAATTCACCCCCATGCTCTTCGTGATAGTGGCTCTTTACTCTAACTGGTGCTAACATCCCCGTTCATCTAGCTTTTCTGCAGAAAAGACATCAGTGATCTTATGTAGAGCGGGGCCCCGTGCACGCCCCTAGACATGAAACTGTATAGATTAAGATTGGAAACTGTCATCCGCTCTTGGAAATTAAGGCATAAGTAAGATCTTCCATAGTCTCAAACTAAAATAAGCAGATTACCAAGAGGGTTCCACCATGCTAATTACTGTTTGAAATAAACCAGGATGAATAGGCAACCCTGAGTGAAAATGGTATGTTTTTGTATGTGCACATATGTTTATGTGCGGAGCACAGGTGTGAGAAAGGCAGAGGTCAGTGCTTGGTGTCTTCATCAGCTGCTCTGCATCTTGGTTTCTGAGGCAAAGTTTCTCCATGAATCTGGAACTTGCTGATTAGCTAGGCTGGCTGGCCAGTGAGCCCCAAAGATCCTCTGGTCTCTGCCTCCCCAATTTCATCAGAATCAACTCGAAGAGAGGACCCTGGGATTCAGACTCAAGGTAGACTCCCCTGAGGACTCGGTCATAAAGGCAGATGTATGTCATCGAAGGTGTGCCTACAGTATGAATTTCAGGGTCACAGCGCCCCAGCCTTGGCGCTTCACCAGTGGCCTCTGTGGTTGGTGGTGACTTGGGATTCTGCCTGTAGTATGGAGTCGTGGCTTCGCCAGTTCACTGTAGTGAGCGCACCAGCCTTTCCTTGGTGCTCCACATTGATTTTAAGAACGGATCTTCTTCGCGCCTTGCTTCCCCAAAGCTCCCCCTCCCCTTACAGCCATGTTCTCACCAGTTTCCAGCATCTAGCTGTCCTGGATGAAGTCTCCTGGGCTTGAGTGCCCAGCATGCCCAGTAGAAGCTACTCTCCTGCCTCAAACATTTCACTAGCCTTTGGCACTTAGAGTAAAAGGCGGGCTCCTCCTCATGGCTGGCGGATCCTGAGTCTCATCTCTTGCTGCTTTCCATCCACTCGAGCTGATGTTTGCCTTAACAGTGGCCAGTGAACACTTACTTACCTTTTCCAGGAAGCTCTTAGAATTCATGCCTGGAAAATACTCTCCGAACTTAATAGCCCAATGAAATCATCATCAATAATAATACTTGATGCCACTTACTGAGGTTTTCTGTAGTCCAAATACTGTTGTAAGTGCTCTCCCGACATACTGTATCATGAACTTAGAAGCAATAAGCTTGTGAAATTGGTATTCTGAACTTTTTTTTTTTTTTTGGATAGGAAATGAGGCACGAAGCAGTAGAGTGTCCTAGATTTGTGCTGTGAGTGTGTTGTAGAGCTTGGCTTGAGGTCTGCCTGCGTTTAGACCTGTTCTCTGCTGCTAAAGTTTCAGAAGTGTTTTTTTCTTCTTCTTTCCATTAAATTGCAGTGATTTCCCAGTGGACACTCCCAGAACACACTGCAAAGTGAACCAGAAAAATCAAAGTAAACATTAACATGACCTCATTTCCTTCTGAGCAGGAAACTCTTCTCATATCTTCTAGCTTATTGATAACATAAGGCATTATTATCAAACTTGCACATAAATTCTAAAATCAGACAGGGTTTCATCTTAGCCATTCATATAGGCCCCACTAGCAGGTGGGAGGTAAACGTCCTGGGCATTTGAGATCCCCCATGGCAGTCCGGTGGGACAGTTTAGAACTTCGGTTCTCTGCACTGCTTTTGCTTTGGAGACTCATTGTAGCATTATTATTCTTGTATCGAATTCTGAATAAGTGTGAGCCATCCTGGACCCCTGTTGAATACAGTGCCGTGATGTGTCCCTTGAGTACAGTCATATAGACAGGCTCCAGAGTAGTCTGCCTTGCTCTTTCTTTTCTCTTTGTCTTCCACTTAAAGCAAAACATTAAATTCTTATTACAATACAATCAACTCAGGGACTTCGTATTTTAATACAGATTGTAAAGTAAGTAAACTGCATCGTAGAAGTGTCTTGTGGGGAAGCGTGGAGGATAAGAACACACTGTAGTATCGAACAGGTGGCCTTTGAGATGGTCTCACTGAGATCAAGGCTTGAAGGAAGTGGGGCCTAGTGTTGTGCCCTTGTGGCCTCCCAATGTGGGGTATGCAGAGACAGGAGGACTCCTGGTGCTCAGTGGTCAGGCAGGTTAGTCTCTGTGGTGCACTCCAGGCCTGTGAGAAACCCCATCTTTTAAAAAAGGTGGATGGTGCCTGAGGAATGACACCTACAAATATCATTTGGCCTCTGCAGGCATGCACACACGTGTGCACTGATGTGCCTGCAGCGGCATGTGGACATGTATCAGGACACAAGTGAACATCCTCCCCTGGCCTTCGCAAAGACTTGAAGGAAGTGCGAGGTTAGCCAGATGACTCTTGAGGGAAAAGCGGGATAAGCCCAGACAGTAGCCAGCACCCAGGTCTAAGCCATGCTTTTCTAATTAAAAGCAAAAAGTGTCATTGTGGATGGAAGGGTCTACGAGAGAATCAGAGACTAGGTAGGGTCAGAGAGGTTTGAGTATTTTGCTGGAGACAGCAGAAGTGAACTGACATTCTCTAAAGCACTCACAGAATCCACATCTCCTGGAAACTCTTCTAGATATGCGCTACAGAATGCTCTCTGGAGAGTCCCCAGGTGTCACACATTCTCAAGCCTGTGCTGATCTGCTTTCTATTGCTGTGACAAAATCCCCATGGAGAACAATTGAAAGTGGGCCTTGTGGGCTGTGATAAAATGGAGCACCGTGGGAAGGAGCACATGGCTGAGCCAAGCTGCTCACCTCAGGGTCCCAGGGTGTGGGGACAAAATGTATCCATTTGCTGCCCCCCTCCAGTAATGCACCTTCTTTCAGGTAGGCAGCACCCTTCCGGCTCCTGATGGCTCAGCAGTAGATAGATCAATGGATTAGTGAAATCCAAGCCCTCATCATTGGCCTCAGCCTTCAAACACTACTCCATTGGTGACCAAGCTTTCACCATGTGGGTCTTTCAGGGGCCTGAGGCAATTAAAGAATTACAAGAGTTACCTTTCATTGGTCAAGAGCACGTTCCTGGGGTAATTGATAGGAAGCTGAGCCATTGTCATGACAACACAAAGTTCCAAGGTTACAGGAGTAAGACCATGACCAGACTGGGGCAGGTGGAGGGCAGGGTGCCCAGTGACAGACTTTGAGACATAGGTCTACTGTCAGCAGACTGGCAAGAGAAGAATTGGCATGCTTTACTTAGGGTGCTTTGTGTAGCAACATCTGTGACTCTGACCTGTGCATAGCTGTAAAGTTGTAACTTATGATCCATTTGCAAAACGCCTTTAGTCTCGTTCGGACTTGCTTTGAGGTGAAAGTGAGCTGATCATGTGCAGTGAGTCTGAGCGAAAGAACAAAGCAGGATTTTAAGTGTCTACAGCCCTCGAGGGACAAACAGATCTGGTTATGAAGCATGCATTCTATATATCAAAATTATATAGTAAGTGAAAAGTCATCTTCCTGACCACCCTCAGATGGATATGCCCATAAGTGTATATAAATACATCCCATATAAAAAAGAGATGCAATCATGAGATTACACACTACAGTGCAGGCATTGGGGAGACACCAAACTGCTTTAGCAAATATAAACAACAGTTTCCAGAGTCAATAGTCCTGCAGGCTTTGCCTGGACAGGATTAACCTTCATCAGCCGATCACCCCTCTGGTGGGCTGACCTCTGAATTATCACCTGCCGTATGCTGTATATTTCCACAGCCTCTGATGCAAGTGAACATGAAGAAGGTAGTAACTTGCCTGTGTTCATCATTACTTGTACAGAAGCTAGGAATTAGACTGTCTGGCTCCAGAGGCCATTTGGTTTAGTGCTCAGCACATGATGTTTTGCCTCTAACATCCTCCCTGTATATATACTGTGTGGGAGTCATGCTCCGTGGCAGATGTTAGCTTATGTATATGTGCCTTTCACTCTGTCTACAAATGCTTTTGTTAAATTGATCAAATTTGTTCTTCGACAATTTCGTTGATGGATTCTGATTATCCTTACCCGGTCCTTCTCTAATCTTTTTCTTTACCTTGTCCCCACCCCAGGCTCTTTTTGTTTTGTGACCCAGTGAGTTTAACCAGGGCTGTGTGTGTGGCCTTGGGTTTGGAACTGTCTGGTGGAGCCTGGTGGCTTTACCAGTGGGTACACACCTGAAGACACTGACTCTGTCTTCCGGAGTCCATCAGTAGCCAGTTCTACCTGTAAATGTTTTGAGAACCGTGGGAAACTCACTTTTACTTTCTGGTACTTTCTGTACATTCTCTTGATTGACCTGTGATGGGAATGAGATATTCTCTCCTTTAATTTGTAATATGTTAGCCGCAGTGTTCAGAATTCTAATGTGCGTGGATCATTGATTGTGGATGGAATTTGGTTTTGGGTTTGATTTTCATTCTCTCCTTGTGTTCTGCTTTGTCCCCAGACCAGTATTAAAGAAGGACAGCTGCTGAAGCAAACCAGCTCTTTCCAAAGGTGGAAAAAGAGATACTTCAAGCTTCGAGGCCGTACACTTTATTATGCAAAAGACTCCAAGGTAACTCACCAAGACCGGTCCCAAGCACTGTTATGTCGTGAGTAGATGGAAACCTCTGATCATACAAACTACATTTGCCTTAGAGCCTCATTATAGCTTAGTAGTTCTGCTAATTTATTATAGATGTGGTCATCTTGCACTCCGCCTCAAGGGGGAGCTATCAAGTCATATGGTTGGCTAGTCAAATATACGATTCCCTTTTTCTCTAATTAAGATGTTATAAATAACAGAATAAGTTAAACACTCTGGGTTACTCCCCTTACCCCTTTTCAATTTTTTTGGACTATAAGAAAAAGTTGAGAGTTGTTGCAGCTGTTAGGAATTTACATTCTAGGGGCAGATAGAAGTTCACAGCCCAGCTCATGCACAGACCACAGTGTGCCTGTGGATACTGTGTGCTACTGAGAGAAGGCTTAAGACCATACATGCCGAGTGCTTTCACAACCCCGGCACAAATAATCTCTTCATTATGGTAGCAATTAAGAGTGAAAAATCACATCATAATAAAATTGAGACTTAAAATCATTTTTATGTAACAAATGAATGAAGTAATATAATATAGTTTGGGAAGAAGATCCCAATTAAAACTGATAATTTCATGTTGACTGAAAAGAAAACATTAGGATGGCAGAAAGCCTAGTCATTCCCATTTTTAAAACTGCATGTTCCTCATAATCAGTAGAGTCATTGGTAGAGGCTGAAAAAGCAACCAGTGAGCAAACCTAATTCTTGGTTTATGGAACAGTAGTAGAAGGAATAGCTGAATTCTCAGGTTAAAGTAATAACAAGGTAATCTTATTTTAAAAGTTTGATGTTGACTGTTGTCCCTAGTCCGGCTCCATTGTGTCTCTGCATCTTCCTCTGTAGAAACAGTGATGTCTTGGTTACCTGTGACTTTGGCCGAGTGTCCCGTTCAGGTGCCGCTCAAATTGTCCAGGATGAGATGATGAATTTGCTTTCTGCTGAGAGAATTGTTGGTGCCTTCCCCAGCATTTCCTTGTGACCGCAGTCCCTCCATGTTTAAGGGTCTAACTTGTGCTGCAGTGGGCTTTGTCTGTTTCACGTCGTACCCAAATTGTACAGCCCTTTCAGTTTGGGAACAAGTCCAGTTGAATTAAAGTAAATGAATAAAATCATAGTAAATTTAGTGTAACTCCCTTAACTCTCCTGATTGGGAGAGTGGAGGCTATCAGGAAGGGGAGACATGTTTCATGCAGACATGGAGGTGAACAATAATTCCACTTGTCTGGGAAGTCCACTGGCTTGAAAGCTGAGCAACAACCAATTCACTCAGAATAGGAAAGGTGCATTTGTTTATTCATATTTACTGATGGCAAATTTGCTCCTTTTAAAAAAATTCCCATTTTTTTTTTCTGGAGCTTTCACCACTGACGCACTCAGAGTTAATAATGTCTAAGAGCATGAGACAAACTCAGTCTTCTGTTTGCAGAGCACGGTCACCATCTTATTTGGATACATTTTGATAGACAAGGACAGTAAGGTCCAAAGCATTTGGTAAGTCACCGTGATCTGAACCAGGGTTAGTTCTCGGCCTCCACTTGACAAACCTGTGGGCAATGATGTCTTCAACTGCCTGCAGAGTTGTCTCAAGCCTTAGGGTGTGGGAGGGTGAGTGTGTGTGTCCTTCAGTTGGTTCTCCTAATCATAGCAGATAGGCTTCCGGAAGACGTGGGTCATTTGTGCAATAGGGTCACCTGAGACAAACTTGTGTGGTGTCCCTAAGTTAACATTTGTTTTTGATTCCTAATTCTTGACATCACTTTCTTCCTCATGGGCTGATAGTGAAAATACACTGAAGAGCTGGCTTTTCTACATAACGTGTTTGTGTTCTTGTCCATCAACAGTCCTTGATATTCGATGAAGTTGACCTCTCAGATGCCAGTGTCGCTGAAGCAAGCACAAAAAATGCCAACAACAGCTTCACGGTATGGCTATGTTCAGTTCTCTGTTCCAGGGCTGGAGGGTAGCGTTTCTGAAGCGTGTGCGGATGCTCAGTTCAGTCCTTACTGACACAATTCACTGTGATAAATATGTTGTTACGTTCTAAACGCCAACTATATGATCAGTTATTGGCTCAGGAAACTTGGGTTTAAGTGTGTTTTTCAAATATATGTCTTTGAATATGTACATTTAAATGCGTTCTTACATCTTTCTCTCTTACACACACACACACACACACACACACACACACACACACACACACACACTCATACTTGTAACCCTAGCACTTGAGAGGCTGAGGCAGGAAGATTGCCATGAATTCTAGGACAGCCTGGGCTACACTGTGATACTGTTTCAAACAAACAAGAATTGCTTTCCTTCTCACTTTTATTTTTTGTTGTTTTTTGTTTTTGTTTTTTTGATACAGGGTTTCTCTGTCTAACAGCCCTGGCTGTCCTGGAACTCTCTCTGGAGACCAGGCTGGCCTTGCCTCACAGAGATCTGCCTGCCTCTACCTCCTAAGTGTTGCGCCACCACTACCCTGCTCCTTTTTAACTTTTTAATTTTTGTGTTTTTAAAGTTTTTATTTCCTTTAAATTAATCCTTCATTTAATTATATTGTTCTTAAGTATTCAAAGCCTTTGTTATTTTTCTACAGTCAAAAAACAATATTTTCTTCTCGTGTTTTCACTGTAGTTGCTGTAGTTCAGGCTTCCATTTCTCCTCACTGAGGTAATTCATCAGGGGAACTCTTGAAGAGGGCCCCTCTGGTCCAGCCTCTTTTCTAATCAGAAGGTGCATTGCTTAAAGGTCTAGCTTGTTCGCTGCCACCTACAAACTGTATTGCCACTCAAAAGAAAAAAAAAAAGATCCTGTACTGTTCCTTCCAGTGCCCTGACGTTGGCCTTCCACACCCTGCAGCCCAGCATACACATCCCCTGCCTTCCTGTCGCCCCACCCCATTTCTTTCTACCCGTGGTTGTTGAAATCTGACCACTTCTCCCATTTCTCTGCTTCTTTCATTTACAAAATCAAAATACAAGTTGACTTCCCTTTATGTCACTGGCATTTATGATAAGCAGAGAAATGCAGGAAAGGAGATACTTATGTCTATCTATATCTCTTTGCATATGTAAATCTCCCCTCTAGATTTTTCTTTAGTTCAGGGAGATCCCGTGGTTCTTCCTGCAGAGACACAGTCCTTAGCTCCCCTGTGATGTGTTCCTTCTGCTAAATCCTCACACCTACCCACACCTCCAGCCCTCCCACCAGGACGTTGCTGCTCCTGACACTAGTGTCTGTCCCTCAGGTGCACAGAGCATGGGGGACAGCCAGGTAAGCACACAGAGAGGACCATGCTGGAGGTGAGCGCTAGTGCGCAGTTGAGTGGGGAGAGGAAGCGCATGCATTCAAATTTAGTCTTATTGATTTATGGGCATGTGGGATAATTCATAGTGTAAACAGTGCTTTGCCGCTCCTTCTCCCCAGGGAGAGTTTAGTTTGAGAAGAGGAAAGCCAAGAATAGAATCCTGGGAAAATGTTAAAATGTAAGGTTTGACCAGAGGACCAAGCAAGAGCATTCTTAAGTGAAGCGGTGGAGTCACCCACCGGGCGGTGATGTCATAAGAACCCAGCGTCAGAGAGTTTCAAGACTGAAGTTGCTAAACGTCAGGTGCTGTGGAGAGGGCAGGTCCTGGAGGAATTGACAAGGTGACTTGGATTTGTGAACTTGGGGTTCGTGTGGTCTCGTGGCTTCGAGTGGTTTCCAGGGCGGGGTGGTATTGGAGTGAGACAGCAGGCCTTCCCTGAGGCTGGACCTTTGGGAGCGCAGATTGCACAGAGCGTTGTGGTTTCGTCGTTCCTTTTCGCTTTGCTTCTGAGTGTGTTTACGTGAGGAACGGAGAGAGCTATTAGATGGGGGCCAGATTGCTGAGTGAGCTGATGGGTGTAAGAGCAGGGTGCGAGCACAGAGCCGAGGCGGAGGCAGGTGTGGGCAGCGAGCATGTGTATGTCAAGCCCAGATAGTACCATTTTTCTCAGTGCAACCAAAGACCGGGTTGTGTGGCTATGAGTGGGAGCTCGGGAAGGCTTAGAATAGCTTCTGTGGAGACGGCATGGAAACCATTGGGGACCTGTAAACTGTGTCCACTGAAGACTGCCTTTAGCCACGTCCATTCGTCTGTGCTTATAGAATAAACTTTAAATTAATAGAGAGGAGACAAATAGATTGATCCAGAGCGGTGGTTTGTAAGGCCTTGGGGCAGAGGGTTAGAGGTAATGCTGGATGCTTGAAACATCAGTATCTTATAGCTTCACTGCCTCTCTATGCTCAGTGCTTTAGGATAAAGCAACAGAAGGCAGAACTAGCCTTGCTGTTAACTGAGCAGGCTCCAGTAAACACGAGGAACCTTGGAGATGAAATGTTGCTTACTGTTCCATCCTCCAAGGGAGGATGTGCTCGGCAAAGACAGAAAGTACCATTCGCCTTCCTCTGGGAGTGAACAAAGGTTGCTTCATTCATTCATTCATTCATTCATTTTTAACCCAAGAGAGCTAGAGATAATCTGAAGGAGGGTCCCAGAGTTTACCGTGTAAGGGTTAGATTTTCAGTAAAGGGAAGGCCTGGGGCTTAGAGCAGGTGCAGGGATTATGGAAGTCACTTGTGCAACTATTGCTTGCCCTCCAGCTGCACTTGTTTAACCCCGTTGTAGACAGAGCTTGCCCTAGTCTGCTCTATGCCCAGGTAGGTGTATTTTTTATCATGACTCTCTGATGGCCGGGGCTGTGTCTCCCTTTGGGCCTTTTGTAGCACCTTATTCAAAAGTGTTCCTTGGTTTGGACACACACGACCAAAGTGTCTGTCGGCGTGAGGTGACATGGAGCCTTGGATATGTCGTCGACCAGCTGTTCTTTCTCAAGTTTTGTGGGCTGGAGATGTAAAGGCTGAAAAGGTAGGCTGCTGGGCATTGCGCTACAATAGGAGCTTGGTAGAACTTTCCCCAGTATAAAATGCAGCAAAAGGCATGTTTTCAAGTGGTAATTGACAATCCTCCTGCTTAAATATTTAAATATCCTGCCCTCCTAGATCATCTTGACAGCTCCCGACGCTCCTTTAGCTGGTTCGTGTCAAAGGTTAATGTTGCCGCGTGATGGGATTGCGGTTGGAGTAAGAGTGGCCGGAGTCTGGTCTTCTAGAAGTCCCTGAGGGTAATATATTGACAAGAAATGGTGGTACACAGGCAATCTATAAATAGTTGATGGAAAATGGAAAACTTGGGCTTTGTTTGAAAATGAACGCTCAGCTCTGTGAAGATGACTTCTAAGTGTCCTGCAGAGCAGGGTCACTGCTAGCCCACCCTTGACATAGCTCAGGGTCCCTTCTGCATCCACTGTCTGAGTCCCACGGAGGCACATGGACACCAAGACAGGAGAACCAGGAGACTGTGGGTGTGGTTTAAGATCTGTGTACCCTGTGCATAGTGTCTTACGTAGCCTACTGTTCCACGTTGCCTTTCCTACCCTTCTTACTGTCGTATGAGTAAATTAGGTCGGTGTTCATTAAGTTATTTCTAGTGTAAATTCTACCATGATGGGCAGAGCTTACAAGCTTAGGTTACGAAGTCAAAGAGCCTGTTTCAGCCCTCTTTTGTGACAGTAGTCACATTAGCTGATCCCTTTAAAGAGATCTGCAGCGGTGGAGTGAGGACCTGCTTCCTAGGGCTCTCAATATCAGATTAATGTGATAACCCATAATATACCCAGGGCAGTGGTGAGCCCCTGCAGTTTAGACCACTGTGGCTATTATCCTGAATGTCCTGCCCGTCTTTCCTCCTCACAACTGGCAGTGTGTGGCCCATTTCTGAAAGTTTGGGAACCTCGAAGGTTATGGAGATGAATCCCATATTGAGGAAACATTCCACCCTGCCTTTTATTGAGAGGTATAAGGAAGGCTTATGTCCACTTTTCATCCTATGTTAATGAGCATGGTTGGGAAAAGCAACCAATCAGCAATGAGATGGCCATCACAGACGGGTAGGGTAGTGTTATTTCCTAATGAAGAGGGCTTTTTGGTGATTTAAACAGGATCCCAGTCACAGCTTCCAGAGATGTTCAGAGGAGTTCTTTAAACTTTAATAAAAGATTAAGATAAACTTCAGACAAATGAATTATTTTAAAGAAGCTGTATTGGTATTTAAATCTCCTGAGATAGGGAGATAACTGGCCAGGTTTTGTGACACAGGCCTGTAATCCCAGTTGAAGGTCGAGGCTGAAGACTCTCCAGTTCAAGACTCTAGCCTGCCTGGCTGCAGGGCAGTTCCAGGCTAATTAAACCGGGCACCTGAGGAGGACCTTGTGTCACAATAAGATGTGAAATAAAAGTTGGGGGGTGCTGACCGTGAGAGAATGTCTTATTGAGGATGTAGGGGCCGTAGGCCCAATCCTTAGGAACCCCTGACATAGGAGGGCAGAAAGCAGCATGGAATTTGTTTGTGTGCTTCTTTGTTTAACTCAGAAGGAATGCAGGGATTTGTTGGTTAAGTTAGCCAACCTTAGCATTTTCAGTAGGCACTGAGCTGTATGTGAAGTTCCAGTGTTAGTGTGAGTCCACCTGGTCCCTTGCTGGGTCAACTGCAGGCACCACGTGAGCTGAAAGCTCTTATGTCTAGATCCGAAAGAGGGCTGGAGCAGAGAGCTCTTACTGCCCAGGGTTACTGGCTCAAGCAGGTATGCTGGACGCCGCTTTAACACTACTTCCTCTCTATGTAGTGTTACCTAGAAGACACACCTCTCTCCATAGGAGGGCTCTTAACTAAGAGGGGATGACCCACTGTAAACATGGGTGACGTCATCCCCTAAGCCGAGAGCCTAGACTGAACAAGAGAAGAAAAGCTAAAGAGTGTCAGCAGTCTCCTTTCTCCACCTCCCGGTCTGAGGCGAGGGTGGGGAGGCCCACCCACCCGCTCCTGCATCCTTGGAGCTACTG